ATGGGACTCTTAATCTCAGGGTCGTGGGTTCGAGCCCCACGTTGGGCGAGTTCGGTTTTTTTTCCCCTGCCTCTTTTCCCAGATTTTTACTTTTCTGGAAAGCACAAAACTTTTGCTTTTCCCCGCCTCCAAAATCCAAGGGTAAGCCTCAATTCTCCGTAGGTTGTTTTTTTTTTTAACTCAAGGCAAAGCATTACATCTTGGATGGGCATTTCAAGCTTTCTCCCCTCATTTCCCGTGTTTGAACTTCTAGGGTTTTTTTCCCAATCCTTGTAAGGTTTCCTGCCTTAATTTCATGGGGTTTCTCCCCAGTTACGTTCCCAGCCCCAGGGAGGAGCTTGTCTCACTTGGACAATGTTCCTCTACATTCCCAAACCTCTGAAACAGCAGGAGTAGGAAAAAGATTAGAACTAGGACATCTCACTGATCTTCCCACCTCTCCTGGTGTCCCTGCAGCTTTTCCCACCGGCAGAGAAGGGACACAAAACCCTCTTGGAACCCAATTTTCCATGTTCAACACCTCCAGGTTCCTGGAAATCTCAAAGAGGTTGTGTCTCCTTGCTCAGGTGGGTCAAGGTGGGATTGTTGGAGAATGGCTAACAGAGCAAGGACATATTTCCATGGAGATGCTGTGTCAGCAAGGAGACTCCTAGCAGCCCAAACAGGAGCAGCAAACAGGAGCTTTGAGCATATAACCATGAATTAGGCCTCAGGTTACTTAGCTTCTCAGCATTAGAAGTTATTTTCTCAGCGTAACGTTGCAGCCGAAGGACAAACTGTTTGGGAAAGCTCAGCAATGCTGCAAGCCCATGGATGAACTATCCCGGGAAAACAAAAAAGGATTCTCCAGAGAATAAAGAAGACTTCTTCACAGCTGCAGCTGCAAGCAGAAAAAGTATAGAAATGGAACCTGTAGAGCTTAGGTAAAGTGAATAATAGGTATAGTTGTCCTGCAAGCTGAGAAAGTGTACAAAAGTAACTTTTAGGGTTTAGGTAATGGTAAAGAGAACAATAAGCAGAGTTATTCAGGCACTGTATAAGAGAAGGACTAAGCTAACAATAAAGTTGGAGCTTGCTCTATCACTCACACTGAGTCGGCCACTTGCTTCCCCGCGCGGAATTTTCCCAGCGGTGATCCTGTAGAGTGGCGCCCGAACGGCAACTCGGCCTCGGACTAGGGACCAGTCCTTGGACTGAGGACCTGTCCCTGCTTTGGGACTCTCCTCGGGATGGGAACCAGGTGGAGAGGAGCAGTTGACAGAGAAGCTCTGTCACGCAGCCGACAGGGACGGAAACTCGTTTGCGCAGGCACAAATAAGTCGTGTCTGGGGATTCTGCGAGTTCCTCGCCTGCTACCAGCTCTAAAGTGCTGCATCGGAGACGCTGCCAGAGCATCGAGATAAAGAAGAGACGAGGAAAATAAAGGAGAAAAACATGGAGGAAAAGGTAGAGTTACATTTATTACAGAGAGTTTTAGAAAAGAAGGGTGCTAATTGTGTTAAGCAGTTAGCGGGCTTGGTAGCTGTGGGGACAGCCAAAGGATTCTTTAAGGATCCCGGGCAGCTATTTTTTGTGGGCATCGAGATAAAGAAGAGATACGGAAAACGAAGGAGAAAAAATGGAGAAAGAGGAAGCGTTACATTTATTACAGAGAGTTTTAGAAAAGAAGGGTGCTCATTGTGTCGAGCGGTTAGCGGGCGCGGTAGCCGTGCGTACAGCCGAAAGATTCTTTAAGGATCCCGGGCTATTATTTTCTGTCGAAGAATGGAGAAAATATGGGAACTGTCTTTGGGACCTTGTCATAGATGAGGACAAAACCACCAAAAGGTTGATGACATCAGGGCGAGAGATGATTAATTGCATTAAATACTATGAGATGAGAAATCACGTAGCGGCATTTGCGACACAGCAACTGGATCGACCCGGAGGGACTGTTCGCCGCGGGGAGCGACTACGTGCCGATGTGTTTGTAAGATTGATTTCTGGAGGAACTGGTGGGGCAGTGAAACGGGTCTGGATTGTATAAGAGAAAGACTGAGCTAACAATAAAGTTGGAGGTTGCTTTATCACTCACATTGTGTCGGCTGCTTGCTTCCCCGCGCGGAACTTTCCCAGCATGGGATGAGGTGGGCAAGGTGGGATGAGGTGGGCAAGGTGGGATGAAGTTCCTGTTGGGGCTTTCTGGGGTAGGAAAATAGTTGAGGTTGATACTTTCCCAACCTCAGTTTCCTCAAAAACTTGTTGTTTTTCTTCTGAGGAACCTCAAAAAGAGGAAGCAACAGTCCCAAAATAGCTGCAGACTTGGTGAGACAACGGAGAAGAGGAACCAAAAGTGAGTGAGGGGGAGAAGGAGGAGGTGGTGGTGGAGGATGTAGGGTCATGAGATGAGTAGAACACCACGTGAAGCAACTCAAAACCATCCCCAAGGGTCCAAGACCATCCCAAGGGACCCAACCCCATCCTGAGGAGCTTCAAGAGGTTCTCAAAGCTCTTATCAAGCTGTCACATCTCCCTCTTTGTTCTCCTCGACATCTCCAACCCACCACGGTCCCACCAACCTCCTCCTGGAGGTACCACCGGAGAAACCCATAGCACAAATGTGGTGGGAAAACTCTTCTTTCCTGGAAGGCAAAGCTCCAATTCTTCCCCAACTCCTCCAGAGTCATGAGGTTCCTTCCCTGTCTCTGATCTCCAACCCCATGCAAAGCTGAGGTCTCCACCCTTGGCTGGTTCTCCAGGTTTTTCCGGAGGTTTGTGGATTTTTTGGGGGATGGGGCTCGTTCTCCCAAGCTTAGGCACTTGGATTGGGAGATGAAAGAGCTGAGCCTGAGGGCAAAGAGAAGCTCCACCCTCGGTGCCTCCTCCCACACCACCATGGATGAACCTCCTCAATCCCAATCCAATCTCTCTAAGGAGTATTTTGGGCTGCTTTCTCCCATTCCT